CTAGTGAAATCGTAGTTCGGTACGGTATACTTTTTTGTTGCTTTCTTGCTTCCTCTCATTGCCACTTGATAAGGCCTTCAACTCGCCATATTGGCAAATTTCTCATCTGGGGAAGGTGCTCCTTATTTCTGTAACGACATTGGTTCTCAGATAACTTAAATTTTGATGATTTTTTCTTGAAATATCCCTTCACTAGTTCTCTCAACGTTACGCTGGATGCGTGCAAATTTCCATGAATTCTTACTAACAACAGCTGTTACAAAGCTTTAGTTTCTTGATGTGGGATCTGCCTTCAATTTTTGCTGCTCTGGAATGTTAGACGAACTGATACACTTTTTAAAGCATGTAACGAATGGATGGAGTATACAACGGTTGACGATTTCAAGCCTGATGTCTAAGCCAAGCTTCGAGTAGAAGATCTCCAAAAACCTTCTCAGAACTTTCTGTTCGAAAAAGGCGGCGGCTGTTCGCTCGTGTACATCAGCCTGTTCTTGTTCCCTTTCTGAAATTTTTACTCGCCCATGCAGCGGTCAGCGCGTGGCGTAAGCATGGTTACACACAAAGTGCAAGCCGGATCTGTTCAGTGCCAGAGAGTTAGGCTACCACAAGAAGAACGAAGTTTTAATTTTTTTGCATTTAAAGAATCTATTTCGAGAAAGTGGATGATGAAACGTATGCCTACCTTATAGTAATCAATGATTACTATAAGGTAGGCTTACTTTTCATCATCTAGACAAGAGATATTCAACTTCTCATAGGATGTTGTATTTATGGAATTTCAATCTTTCCGCGATACATTGCGAATGTGCGAAAACCTGTATAGAGTGCAGACACTTCGCTCAGAATTTGAAATTTTATCCAAAGGAGGCCTTTCTGAGTGTTTTTTATTCGAAAGATGCCTCAAATATGCTGCAATGTAAACACAGCCCTGTTTATCTAGTACACAGAGTTAGTACAATTCTCGCCGGCAGCTTGATATTCACTGGGAACTAAAACAGTCGCGCGTGGCCGTGTTGTAACAGTTGCACATCGTTGCAATCGGTCCTAGCTAAGTGAGAAAGCTCCAGCGAATAAGATCGATCTTCGGCTTCGAGAAGAACATAACTTTAGCAGGCCTAAGTTTTTCAACTGGAATCACAGCGAATCTGTGCTAGCATGATGATTTAAACCTTTTTCAAACGAGTAATTCAATTTGTAGTATTACAGGTATGGTGAAGTCATGAACATAAATTTATTGCGACATGCCGACACCGGAAAATCACGAGGGTTCTGTTTTTTGTGTTATCAGGACCAGCGTAGTACCGTTCTTGCTGTCGATAATCTGAATGGTATTACTGTAAGTTAGTTTTTGAATGCCTATGAATTTCTTTTTTAGCGAGTGAGCGATGTTTGTTACTCGTTTTTAGCTGCTGAAGCGGCAAATTCGTGTTGACCACGTCGAGCAGTACAAGGTACCAAAATATAAAGAAAATGCCGACGAAGAAACCAAACGCTTGTGGGAGGAGGGTTGTGCACCGAAACCTATTCGAAGAGCTAATCAAGGTTAGGCGTATAGGTTTCATACGGGATGGTCGCGTGATATATTTTCGAAAATGATTGTTTCTTTTTTTCTAGTTTCAAAATTTCAGAAGAGAAAGTCCAGCAACAAATTGAGGAGGTTAAAGAGAAGTCAAAAGAAAAAATTTTATCTTTAAAGGTATGTTGAGAATTTTGTGGTATGGTTCTTTTGGAAGCTTTATTTTTAAGGAGGATGCCGAACTGAAAGAGTTGCGG